TAGTTTTGACGAAACTGATCCGAATAAAGATGACGTCGGTAAGATGGAATCCGTTTTACTTATATTTATCTATTGAAAACTTTGTTAATTCAATTGCATTAACCGAAGTATTTTCGTGTTTTAAGTTTGAAAAAAAAAGAAAAGGAATTCGTGAAAATAATTGAAGAACATGATTGTGAAGATTTTCATATAATATTTTTTAGAATTGTCAACATATATGTACATATATATTCATTTCGTCCATCAAATGAGTCAGAAGCATCAATTCGTTCACAGTATTGTGGTATTTAAGTCGATACAATTAATTAATAACAAAAGCTCGAATTCTTATGCTGAAAAAGAACATGACAATGACTTTTATTTCTTGGCATTTTATTACTGGTGTTCTTTCGAGAATGTTTACTCACACAGCAACAACACTCTGGGATAGATTACAGATTTATATGCAAGCAATGAGAAAGAAAAAATTGTTCAATTCAGCAAAGCATGAATGAATTAATTTCGAAAGAAAAAATGATTCAATAGATTTTCGTATTTTATGCAGAATAGGTAGAGATGATGGTAAAAGTTTTCGATCATTTTGGTAAAGCAATGGAACCACTGTTTTTTAAAATGACATCGGAAATCGCTCTTCTGCAAGGTTTTTTTTCTAAATATTTCGAGACTTTTCATGAAGACAATAGGACAATATTGTATTATATTTCAGTTATTAAGTATATTTAATAGTTCGTTTCGTGAATAACCAATCAAGAATTAATCGGTCTTGGTTACCTGCTTGGTTTTATTATGCGAACATGTAGTTATCCATTAGAAATATTCAAAACTTGACATGAGACAAATCTATACATAAATTAATCAACCAATGCGTTCTATTAGCTACTCGGTGAAGTACTGACTAATATAAATCAATGACGGATCTGATTTAATAACTGTATCTAAGTGAACATTAGCGAGTATTTTATCGCGGATATTTAGAAAAACTAGCTCGAAATTAAGATTTCCTTGAAAAATAACAATTAACTTTGATTTCTTTTAGTATCTTCTGTTGTGGAAATTAATTTTGCTTTATATAAATATTTTCAACAAATATATCATGAAAAAGTGACTAATAATGATAATCATTTTCTTACGAGGAAAACAGAAGTAACTGATTTCTATTTAAGTATATAGAAATTTCTGATAATGAACAAGTCTACGAATAAATAGTATTTCTTTTGTATTTATTCTTGCATGATCAATGTATCATTCCGATTGGAACTAATCAATGTTGATTATCAAAAGTTTGACTCGAATAACTTTGATGTTTAATTTTTATACACCTGCAGCATTTCACGGAAGACGTGCACAAACGACGTTTGACATACACAAAATTTATTTATAGAACAAGAATTCTTTTTTCAAATTATACGCTTTGATTCATTTTGCAAGTTTTATGTTTTTATTCGTTTATATCATGAAAAAAAAAACACAAGTCAAGTCAATAATAAATGAAGAAAAAAAAAAGTGAAACAATACAAGTGTATTGTTTGTAAAGTTAGATCATTCATATAAATATATTTTCTTTCTCTGAATATTGCAAAATTTCTCTATGACGAATAAATAACATTTTCAAATATATGTATATATCTTTTGCATTATGTTTGAAAGAAGAAAAAAAGAGTGTTTAAAGACATATTTTGAATCTAGAGGAGATAAGAAAAGCGATAAATAAAACATTGAACTAGTCAACATAAACATGAATTAATTCTCCACATGAATTTATGTGGACGGATTATATTGCTTTTTTTTCAAATTTCATGAGATTGATATTAAAGTGATGATCGTTCAACACTAAAATCATACTTGAAATATTGCTCAATATCATATGCTGATAAAATACTAAATGAATCTAAACCAGATAAATCATTTTCATTACGTTTGCTATTCATTCCAATTAAATATTTTGGATTTATTTGAAATGGTATACCATCAAGTATTTCTTTTTCATCACTTTTTTTTGTAAGAGTATTTGTATTTGAATGATCAATTGTTTGATAATTTTGTTGCTGTTGTTGTTGAGATGTTTGATATACATGATGACTCATTGGATTTGGATAAAGATTTGATTGTGTTTGTGGTGCTGGTGCTGGTGGTGGAGCACGAAGTAATGGTACAGTACCTTCTTTAACACACATTTGTAAACCATTTATATCGCCAATAGATGTATAAGATTGTGGTGGCCGTTTTGAACGATAAAGAAATATAATATCGCATATACATTTCAGACCACTTTGTCTTTCGACCATTTTAACGCAAATTAATCTTTTAGTTGTACCTTTTTCACGTGTGTCTGATGTAAGTGCTAATACAACATAATTTGCTGGTGGATTACCACGTTCATTTATAAGTTTTATATCTTCAAGAACAAATGTACGCATATCAGCTAATGGCCATATACGAGTTATACAAATAAAACGATCTTTACGTTCAAGTAATGAATCAGCCATAAGATCAGCATCACGATTTGTATCATCATAAACTAAAAATATCAATAATATTTTATTAAAATTTATTTTAATTATTCTACTTAAGATAAAAAATTATTATTCAGACATTATCATAGATTTCTATTTTCTAAGCATGCAATGAACAAAATTGAAAATGGATATAGAATCTAGTTTTAAGTTCAATTAAATTCAAAAATTCATGTATATGATTTATTCAATATCTTCAACAACTTATGTGTTTCAATGCATTCAGTCAATTATGATTTTTCTAATATCACACAAAATATATTTCAGAAATCCGAAAATAAAAAGTTTTGAAATTATGCTCAAGAATCTAATTCAGAAAATAAAGTAATCATTTACATCTATTAATCTTCAACATATAAAAATTTTACCTATTATATCTTAAAATGTTTATACATCCGTCGAAATGTATATTACTGTAATCGAGTAATAGTTGGTTGTTCATTTGTCGTAGGGTAGGATGAGCTCTAGAAAAGTTTTCCTAGATTCAAGTAAAGATATATAAACAGTTTGCTTCGGATACCGATCAATATCCGACCATAGATCTCATAAAGAAATATTTGTTCTTTCATAATCAACCAACTTTTGATTTTAAGCCTAAGCTTTGGAACTTTCAGATTCGAATCCAACTCGACGTATATTTGTTTAACTGTTGAAACATATAGTACTGTCATTCATTTCAAATTACATATAGGAAGATCACGTAAATTTCTCTAAAATATACTAGAAGCATATATTATATTAGTATTAGAACTAATAGATGATACGTCACTTTTTTTTTCTATGATACAAAAATCTGTTTTCATTCATTCAAGTGTTTAACGTAATATAATTTCATGAGTTAATCAAAAATTTCTTGAAATTGCATTAGAAGTTTTCAAATGATTGTAATCTGCTATTAGGGAAAAAAATCATATATATGGTTTGCATTAAGACAATATTTCAAATACTTGAATGAAATTGATATTTTAATAGTTCGATAACATTCCATTAAGACTATTAATCAATTTTTGATAAATTCGATTTTTACATTATTATTTCTCTATCTTAATTAACTAGAATCTAATTACGAATATAATGACTTCGATTTGAATGATTCTAACACCAATGCACAACTAATTTGATATGTATTAAATAAAACTTGAATCTTAGAAATAGAAAAAAAAACGAGTGCAATAGAAAATCGATGCTTCTCTTCTAAGACTTTAAGGGAACATTCTTTCCAACATTTTTGGAGAATGGTTCATCAGAAAATTTCCGAACGCTCTTCTGTAGGAAATATCGGACTCCCAAGGGTTAAAAATTTCTTTGCAGACACTAGACATTATTTGGGTTGCTTACTTTTTCTTTTTATCTCTTTCCGTTCAAATAAAAACATCAACATCCTGAGAACACACTCAAAAGAATTCGGTGATACATTATATTTTGAAATAGAACAGGAAATAGGCATCTTAAACAATTCCTACTATAAGTAGAAAAAAAAAGTTTCAGCTTGATTAAATGCACTGCGGTTGAGAAATGGAGGTGACTATATCCTATTTCTTTTTGTGAAAAAAACTCGATTTTCAAAATCAGCAAAACAATATGTAAAATTTTTATGTTCTATCCTTTCTGGTTTTTTAGCTTTTATAGTTATATATGAGTTCTTGAAATATGTTCAGTATGTATAGAACAGAAAAAAAATAAAAATGAAAAACATTATCATTTTCATTCGGGAAAGGAGGTAGTGACGTAATCAAAAAAAGTTGTGAGAAGGGATTCATGTCTCTCTTTTAACAAAACTCAACCGTTAGTAGGGACGCTGAACTTCGCTCTAGCTTCCATCAGCTTATGCAAATTAAAGAAGGGGGTTTCCTTAAATGTGCTCATATGAAATAAATCCTTCCAGATTATACATTTAACGTTTATCACGTACGGCAAATACTTTGTAAGAACAAATTTTTCTTTACCTTTTCTAATACAATGATAACCTGTTGGTACATTATCCGGTTTCGACACCAAACAAATGCCTGTTATAGGTAAATGTGTTTCATTCATTGATAATAATATATTAAATTCTCGTTAGTATTTACAATATTGTTTTTGAGATAATAAAATAAGAAAGTTTACCAAAGTAAAATGTCAAAATCTACAAAAAAAAAGAAAAAAAAGAGAGAAATTTATCTTGTTCTTTGTTTTTTTTTGACATGTTCACAAAACCAAGACTTCTTTTTTGTTAGTTGGGTGATGACACATCAAGTTGATTCTGATTGGCTGCAAAAACTTTCTTAATGATTCGATAAATAAATTTCATCAGATTTTAAGAAAAAATCTTACATAATTTTAATGAAATTTTTTTTATATATTAGTTTGATATATTTAATTCACTTTTATTTCTAAATATTTTCTAACCAATCATATGTGTGAATATTCTCCTCTGTCCTAAGAAATAAACAAATATTCTAAAAAAAATTGCCATCAGTTTTCTAGAATTAATCAAACAAACGCATTATGGTTAAACAGAAAGGTAGAATTTGTATAATATTTATTTTAACAACTATTTGAATTTTTTTTAAATATTTTCATTTATAGGAAAAAATACATCAACACATGAGTTGATGTTAACAACAATATCTGATGTTGTTAAACAATTAATTGAAGGATACGAACAGGGAAAAGAAATTGATTTAAATAAGTAAATTAAAATAAATTTATTTGAATAGAAGGCAAAAAAAGAAGAAACATATTTTTTTTTATTTTCATTAGAGTTAAATGTAAAGCATCAGCTAAATATGGACTTAGTTTACAACCACGTTTAGTTGATATTATTGCTGCCATACCAGAATCATATAAAAAAGTTCTTCTACCAAAAATAAAAGCTAAACCTGTTCGAACAGCTAGTGGTGTAAGATTAATTAATCAAATATGTTGTGTATTTTCATTTTTGTTATTTTTTTTATTTATTAATCATTAGATTGTTGTTGTTGCTGTTATGTGTAAACCTCATCGATGTCCACATATAGCTATGACTGGTAATATTTGTGTATATTGTCCTGGTGGACCAGATTCTGATTTTGAATATTCAACACAATCTTATACAGGATATGAAGTAAATTTTCATAGAATATAATTAGCAATCAATCGAACATTAATATTTTTATATAAACTTATTGTTTTCTTTAAGCATCTTTTCCCTCAAAAGTCTAACTTCAATATGATATATGAGATATTGATTGAACTTTGCATAAATGTTTGATGCATGGAAGTACATTAATAAAAAAATCTTTACACTTTCATATCGTACCATTCAGGAGATTTCCAGAGACCAAACTACAGAGCTCGAGTCTCTTTCATTTGAAACCGAAGTCCTTACAACTTCGAGGGAAGCAAAAGGCTTTTTTTTAAAATTTTTATTCTATTTCATTTTTATAGATCGTTGAAGCTCCAAAAATCCGGAATTTCTAGACATGGTTGTCTAGAAAATTCAGAATTTATCTAGCATTGACGATTAGTTAGAAAACTCTTTTCCATGATCTAAAGGACTATGGACATATCTATCGATTAAAATAAAAGACACAACTGTCAAAAATGAAGTACTTTGAGAAAAACACAAAAGATTTTTTTTTTTGTTTTCATATAATCTTCCTATTATTACTTGAAATAATGGTGAAGTTTAGATATATTACATATCAATCGAAGTACTTGTCTATGTGTATTAAATTGTCCTTGTACGACATACATCACTATAGATGATGCTATCTACGATTGCCTTGATATTTGTTATATGAATCAGTAGTATAATAGAGACTGATAATAATAGTTAGATTTTACAAGTAACTCATAAAAATATATGGTATTTTATTTTACATAAAATATCTACTTTGAAGGTGTAGGTATGAGTGAAGAGAAAATCGACATTCACACTCTCGTGTCATTGTAGGTGTCAAAAGTGTATCTCTGTAAGATGTGTAAGATTTTCTTTATTTTACATATCTAACTGTATAAAAAATTTTACTGATTGCTCTGGATATCATTATTTGTCCAAATAGTTTCACAGATCATTCGTGTACTAGGCAACATATTCATATGCTTATCTCTACAAGCATTTTTTTTTTGACGAAAATCGAGTCTTCCGAGGGATGGGCTTTAAACAACTTCAGTATATCAAATGAAAATAACTTGAGATATTTTTTCTTTTTTCAATGAGTAAAGAATTTTTATTGATCATGACTAAAGTTTGGTGAATAACAGTTATAAAAAGTTTTTTTTTTATTTCATTCAATCTGAGTCTTTTTTCTTTCTTCAAAAAAAGAGAATATCAAAATTCAATATTATTTTGCTTGTGTACTATATTGAAAATAGATCTCTTTTATCTTATTTCATGTTCATAATTGAATTTTACTTTGAAGTTTGTAATTGACCATATGTTATACTTAAGTAATTGTATGCGTTACTATATACGAATATGTTATTTATAGTTCTCCTTGACAAACAAAAAAGATATTACTATTGTAATTTTTGAAGTTCGTACTCACTTGGTTTTTTTTGTTTAGCCGACATCAATGCGAGCTATTCGAGCCCGATATAACCCATATTTACAAACGAAACATCGTCTTGAACAAGTATTTTTATAGAGCTATTATGATAAAAAGAAATCTAATTATTTTATATTTAGTTAAAACAACTTGGACATAATATAGATAAAATAGAATTTATAGTGATGGGTGGAACATTTATGTCACTGCCAGAAAGTTATAGAGATTATTTTATTCGAAGTTTACATGATGCTTGTTCAGGTCATACGAGTAATAATGTTAATGAAGCTGTTAGGTAGGGATTTTGTTTGTTGATTAAGTAAATATATTTAATTTTTTTTTAAATTTTCAATAGATATTCTGAATGTAGTAAAACAAAATGTATTGGAATTACAATTGAAACTCGCCCTGATTATTGTCTTAAAGTTCATTTGAGGTAAAAAAAGAAAAATGCAATTTAGGAAAGAAAAATCTATTAAATTTTACTTTTCTTTTCCTTGATAAGTGATATGCTTGCATATGGATGTACACGTCTTGAAATTGGTGTTCAAAGTGTTTATGAAGATGTTGCCAGAGATACAAACAGGTTTGTTTATAGAGTTATTTCTCGTGATATTTTAAGTGATTCAATTTGTCTTAAATTAAATATATTGAGAATAATAATAACATGCGTACTATGTGTATAGACATAACTTGGCATTGATATGATTTGTTCGAAAAAATCAAAATCAGATTATTTTATAATATGAAGGAATTTAAAAATTACCACGACAAGTGAAAGTTAATTTTATACTTATTCAATTTGAATTACCAATGAATATCTAATGATTACTCGAGGCTGACGAAGGGATCTCTCGAGATTTCAAATCGTTTTTCGATCGAGACAATGCCAATTGGACAAGTAATACTAAAGACTAGAATGGTTTGTTTTTCAAAACCTTCGTTTTTGAGATATCAAAACTTGACTGAATTTTTCAGCAAAAAGCTATAATCATGTGAAAAAACAATTTTTAACTTCAAACATGGCATGAACAAAGTTCTCAATGAGATTAGTTCATTGAACAAGTTGTAACTTTTCTTATATCTCCTATTCTAAGATATGGAATATTCGAAATTCTTTCACATGTAAAAGCAAATTTTGTTCATATATTTATATCTCCAGGAAGGAAATAATAGAAAAGCTAAAACTTGCATAATCAAGTGATCCTATTAAGAACTTTGTTCGTGCAAAGTTTAAAGTCAAAAATCAATTTTTCACGTGATCACAGCTTGTTTGTTGACAAAATCCAGTAAAATTTCGATTTCCTAAGAACGAAGGCTCGGAAAATCAAATCATTCTAGACTTTTCTATTACTTATCAAATGAACGTCGTCTCGATCGAAAAACGATTTGACATTCGGGAGAGATTTTCTCATGAGATAGGTCTTATGTTAATTAAAAATTTTTAGATCAGATCAATTGAATTATGTTTTTCTTTTAATTACAGAGGACACACTGTAAAAGCCGTAACTGAATCATTTCGAATGGCAAAAGATTCTGGTTTTAAAGTTGTTTCACATATGATGCCTAATTTACCTAATGTTGATCTTGAACGTGACCTCTCTCAATTTAAAGTAATTTTTGTTTTAATAATTCTATAGTTTCTTTTAACTGATTTTTTTATTTTTATCGAAAGGAATTTTTTGAAAATCCAGAATTTCGTCCTGATGGTCTAAAACTTTATCCAACACTTGTTATTCGTGGCACTGGTAAAAAGTTTTCTTTTATTTAATTTCAACAACTATATTTTCTTTATCGAAAAGGTCTATATGAATTATGGCGAACAAATCGTTATGCAAGTTATCCACCTTCAGTTCTTGTTGATTTAGT